AGTGCAGGAGTCAGAGAAGATACAATGTTGCAAGTAAGGTGCTGGGAAAAGGATACATTTTATTAGGGATTTGTTACAAGGTGGTTAGTGGAGAGAAAAGGAGCATCTGCTGGAGATGCTACTGCTGTGGATGTCTTGAGCCAATTTCATGTTGTGTCAGTTCTTTTCTTTTTAAAAAAATCATCTTTATTATAAGAGTTTTCCATGAATATACATAACATTAAGAGTTGATACATTGGGGTAGGGGGTTTGATGGGGATAGGATAGGGGTAGCAAGCAAAAAAGGTGGTAGTACAAAAAAGGGTTGAGTGTAGGGGGTGTTGTTTGTCTCCCAGTCCATTCCACAGGGAGTTTATTTTGTGTCTTTCCCCCTTTTCTTTATTCTTTTTCTTTTTCTCGGTATTTTCATAGCATTTCATCTATTTTTTTTTCTCTATTCAGTTTTCCCCTTTCTATAAACTATCGCCTTCTTCCCCTAATTTATCAGTACGGAATGCATGGGTTTCTTTTCCTGGAGGTATTCTTTCAGTAGTGATCAATCTGTCATGTGTCTGTCTTTCTGGTCTAGGAGTTAGAGAGTCTATATCCTTATAGTCTATGATTTCTGTAATCCACGTGTCGATTATCGGGATTTCTTTTGAGCACCATTTCTGAGCTAATAACGTCCTTGCTGCTGTTGCAAGACAATATATTTAAATATATTTTATCCTTATTCCTCCCTATCTCGAAATCTGTCATATTTAGTAGGTAATATTCAGGTCTTAAATTAAACTTCAATTTTAATATTTAATGGGAGTGATTGTGTATTTTTCTCCAATATTTCTTAACTTCTTTGCAGGCCCACCAGGAGTGGAAAAAGGTTGTAGTCAGTTCTTGAGCCTGCGGAACTCCTTGCTGTGACCCACTGGATCATATAAATTTAAAGGCAGGGGGGCTATGTGCTTGCCATCAGGTTTGAAGTACATTAATTGCTGTCATGTTTTACAGCTTGTGATTGACGGAGTATGATGGGATTAAAGTTTTCACTGGAAAAAAAATTGAGTCTGTTGTGTTTTGTGGCTTCCGAGTTGTATGCTTATGTTCTAGCAGCATTTTCTCCTTACATTTTGCCTGCATATGTGGTTGGCGAAACATCAGGAGGAAATGCTGCTAGAACATGACCATACAGCCTGGAAACTATACAACACTCCAGTGATTCCGGCCGTGAAAGCCTTTAACAAAACCTGAGTCTGTCTGCTCTGTCTGAGTCCATCTCCATTAGGCTGGAGGGGGCTTTCCGGATGGGGAAATGAGTCTGATTGGGGACAATGGTGACAGTGATTACTATCGGGGAGGAATGACCCTTAGGTGATGAGATCTTCTAGTCCCCCTGATGAAACAATGGAAAGCAGGGCTGTGATAATGAGTTCTTGGATTGCTTTGGGTAAAATCTATTATGCCCCGGTATGATAGGCTTGCCGGCTGATTGTCCACCTGAATTCCAATCATATTGCTGAACCTGCTGTCTCAACTGATGAGAAACTTGCTGTGTCTTTCGAAAACTTATGCCTATGGTGTTTTGGAGGGAAGAAGGAGAGACAGACAGAGCTTTCCAGGAGGGGGTCTTTCCTGCTTCCAAAGCTGAGTGGGGTATCAAGGGGTTATTCATCTGAACCCTAATCTTTCAGGATCTGGGTTTTGTATAACAAGAGAATTTACTATATCAAATGAGAATAGTGTAACAGATTTTTCTGGATTTGTCAGGGAAAGAGCAATATAATTTACACATGTTCTATACTTCCTACACATGTGATTTGTATTTAATTGTGAAGTGTGGTGGAGGCTCCTTCTTTGGAAGCTTTTAAACAGAGGCTGGATGGCCATCTGTCAGGGGTGATTTGAATGCAATATTCCTGCTTCTTGGCAGGGGGTTGGACTGGATGGCCCATGAGGTCTCTTCCAACTCTTTGATTCTATGATTCTAAGTATAGTTATCAAGTTTTTGAAAAAATAATGCAAATAAGAGGTGCAACAACTTCCTTGCCTCCATCTCTGAATATTATTAGATGCTAACAAATAATTGTTGATGTTGATGTTGACTTCTGATACACAAGATTGATCCTTGCTGTAAATGATCTGCCCCAGTTTACTTTATCTCAAGTTCTTTTCTTGGTTTTAATTTATCAGATAATATATCAACAAAAAATTAGTAAACTCATCTAGTCTTTTTATATTGTGTATGCCCCCAAATCTCCGGATACTGTTTGATCTTGGAAGCCCAGCAAGGGTTAGTTAACACTTGAATGGAAGACCACTAATGAATATCAATGAATCCCAGGTGCTGTGGGCTACATTTCGGAGAAAGGAACAGGCCAAAATATCTCTGTGTATTCCTTACCTAAGAAAATCCTATTAAATTCATGGGGTGGACATAAATCAACCATAAGTCAACAGGCAAGTTGACTTACGAAGGCACATGCACACACACATTATTTCTTTCATTTATTGTTCCTTTAATTATCTCAGCTCTTCAGTTGAGATGTTAAGTATAACAATATCTGAGAGGGTTCTTCTGAGTTTTGTGATTGATAGCTTCTTGGCAAAACTGTGGGAACAATCCTGAGATTTCTGGTATATTTTGAGTTACTTTATATTTTACTAATAAAATCATTATTTGAACATTTACTTTAGTTAATGTTGCATACGCTTACATATTGTTTAATTTGCTTTGCTTATAGGTCCATGTAACACAATGTCCTTAATGTCTGTAACAGCTCTTAATGTCTATAGTTGTTCCAAAGTTTCAGCACTTGGGATTGCATTTTTTCTCACATTTTAAAATTGAGGCTTGAGAAGCTGGATAAACGAGGAAAATCTCTCCAAGACTTACAGCATTATAGGGTATTACAGTATTACAGACCTTCTCTGGCAAAGAGTGCTGATGCCTCAATCAAACTAAAATTCCTAAGAGTCCGTGCATGAAGCTGTGATAGTTGAAAGTGCTGTTAAACTATGTTAATTCTACTGTGTAGATTCCCCCTAGGTCCATCTCATGGCATCACAATGATCAACAGAATAGCAGCCTCTATGTATTTTGAGATATGGCAAGAAATATGTGTTCAGAAAGCTATTACAATATTGATTTGAGATTATAAGGATTTGTTTTCATGGATATAAAATGGCTGTGAGCTTTTGCAACATAAGTTCTTGTGGGTTTTTTCGGGCTATATGGCCATGTTCTAGAGGCATTTCTCCTGACGTTTCGCCTGCATCTATATAGGCAAGCATCCTCAGAGGTGAGTTCACCTCACCTCTGAGGATGCTTGCCATAGATGCAGGTGAAACGTCAGGAGAAATGCCTCTAGAACATGGCCATGTAGCCCGAAAAAACCCACAAGAACTTAGTGATTCCAGCCATGAAAGCCTTCGACAATACATTTTTGCAACATAGCTTGACAAGAATGTGAGTTTTGAGAATACTATTTGCTATTATAGAGTTAAATTAAATAACGTTTTTTCAAAAGAGAAGTACCAAAATGACTGTAACAGACTTTTTTTTATTGCAATTAAGACATTCAAAAAAATTCATCTGGGTCTTTAAAAAGTGCCACTAGATTCCAGACAATATTCAAGTCTTCATCACTGACATTGTTTTAGGACTGCTGGAAAGGGGATTTTCAATCACTCGGATGCGCCTTCTGAGCTTTTTTTTTGCTGAAATAGAAGAACACTTTTATTGAGAGAAAGTACATCAAAGACAAGTGCCTTTTTAGCCCCATTTTTCCATCTTTAAGTGTGGCAAAGGACCTCCTTTAATGGGGCCTGTTGGGCACCATGAGATGATGCACTGTAAGCCCTACCCACATTTCCTCCCAGAGTCAAGAAGGTAAGTATGTTTTGGGTAGCCCCAATGCAGCTACCCACATTTTGGGCTATAAAGCCCATGGGATGGTAGAAAGGGCAGTGGGGCAATGTGCCATCTGATGAAGGGGAGGGAAAGAGTGCCAAAGCACCCTTCCCACTCTCCGCGTGATAAGGGGAGGAGAGATGGCGTGGGGCCACATGAGCTGCCTCGTACACCTTCCCTTTGCCAGTGAAAGCTGGCAAAATGGCATGGCGCCTTTGGGCCGTGTGAAGAGTTCCTATGTAAATTAAAATGTGGTTTTGGAGGAAATCTCCATTAGCATGTTTAATGAGCCTTGAGCTATTTCGTTTGTGTCTTGTGGGAAGAAAGAGCGCCAACTGCCATTTTAAAAAGAGGGCTACACAAAGTTTTAAAATTACTCTTTTTCTTGCTATAATTCAGTCCCAAAGCATTCAGTACTACTTTCTGGCATCACTAGTAATGTTTTATTGCCAGAAAAAAGATCCAAAACATATCACAACAAGCCACACACACATGGATGCACACATAAAAGACTTCTATCATTCAATACTTGTGATTCATATTGGCTTTCTTAGCCATAGATTCTCCCTTTTGCTAGATGGGAAAGGGGAACATAGAAGATCCCTGGTAGTAATTTACAATTTTTAGAACAGTGTCCCTTTGATGAATCATCAAACAGCCTACAGTACCATGAATGATGATTAAACAATTGCGACAGTGTCATCCAGCTCACGTTATCCTTCCCTGCTGGCTTCTCTTCAAACTGGGGAAGATCTAAGTGGATATGTCATGAGGAGCCCCCGGTGGCGCAGTGGGTTAAAGCACTGTGCCGGCAGGACTGAAGACCGACAGGTCGCGGACATGAGAGAAGCCTCCCACAAGGATGATAAAACATCAAAAATCATCCAAGCGTCCTGGGCAACGTCCTTGCAGACGGCCAATTCTCTCACAACAGGAGTGATTGCTCCTGACACAACAAAAAAAATAAAAATGAGTGCCCAACTGTAATAACTAAGGCTTTCTGTTATAAGAACTCTCATTTCTTTGCACTAATCTTGAAGAACATGTCTCATTGCCATCCCTCATGATGCCTCTTAAATATGCCACCCAGTTAGCATCTTTTGCTTTGCCTTACCTTTCTCTTGGCTTTCAGATTCAGTCTTGCTGGCAAGGTGAAGTATATTCAGCCTGGGCAAACTCATCTGGTGGAGAGAGAAGGAAGACAAAGCCACAGAAGTGAACATTAGGAAGAACTTCCTGATTGTGAGAGCTGTTCAGCAGTGGAACTCTCTGCCCTGAAGTGTGGTGGAGGGTCCTTCTTTGGAAGCTTTTAAACAGAGGCTGGATGGCCATCTGTCAGGGGTGTTTTGAATGCAATATTCCTGCTTCTTGTCAGGGGGTTGGATTGGATGGCCCGTGAGGTCTCTTCCAACTCAGATGAAGGGGTGACCCCATCTGTTAGTGTCTCTAACAGTTTCATACCAAATGAACATGGAAATGCACACTCTTCTTCCTCAAAATGGTACTGCTTGTCATTTCAGAATTATGTGTACAAATAATAACTACCACACCTCTTACCTGTTTCATAATAATCGTAGATTTTAACTTGAGCTGGTTTGATGTTGGACACAGAATGGACTTGCTCTACAATTAATGCAAAAGTAATTTTCTCTGCTGATACCTGAGGCATAAGAAGAAAGAAAGTATTAGAAGCAGCTTCTTTTTGGAATGTTATGAAGCTGTCGCCTTACCATAAATCTACAGAAGCCCCTTTTCTCCCACCCAGGACTTACATCTTCCAGATAACAAAAGATGTGGTCATTCCTGGTTTCCACACGCATCATTTTGTTTTGGAGCTGAATGAGACAAAAAGAGGAAAGTTATTTTTTAATGACAGGAACCATGGCTTTGGCCTATGACACTGAAGTGGCGAATATATGGTCTATACAGATTTCTTTTTGTTGTCACTGTTACGAAAGTGTTTCTGTCTGGTTGAAATTATACCAGTTCTGTGGAGACTTCCTCTTCCAAGAAGGAATCTGTGGACCTAACTACACTACTGTATAATGCAGTTCAATGTGGTTAATCTGGATTCTGAAACTGCATTATATGGCAATGTAGATCTAGACTCTGTAGCCTCCTTTCCCAATTTGGGAGCTTCCCATGCCAGTTAGGGAGAAAATGGCATGCTGACTTGGGTTTTCTGGGATGTACATATGCTACTTCAAGGGAAATATGTAGCCCCCCTAACATTTCTAGATTAAAGCTCCCATTGGCCATGCTTGCGGGGGCTTAATGGGAGCTGGAATCCTACAGTCTCTGGAGGGCTCCACGTTCCCCAACTCTCCTCAACACATTTGAATAGGTTTTCCTTGTAGCATATGGATGTGACTAATCCAATACGGAAAAAAGCCAACACAAGCTTTCTGCGTTGCTGTGAGTTTTCCCGGCTGTATGGCCATGTTCCAGAACCATTCTCTCCTGAGGTTTTGTCCACATCTATGGCAGGCATCCTCAGAGGTTTGTTGAAAAGCTTTCCTAATCAGATGAACCTTTGCCCAGGTGAAATGCCTTTTGAAATTCTAGCTTCTGACATGTAGACATAAATGGTTCCAGAATTAAATATCAGAACCCATTGCAGACCAAGGTTCTTCCAGAAATATTATAAAATGGGCTCCCTACAGCCTGGTAACATCTGCCTGGAACATGAGGCACATTTGCCTCTTTGGATCTGTTTCAACACAATCAAGGCAGGGCTATAGATCTGCTCACTGTCTTTCAAAAGGCATCTAGTCAGAAAAACAGGATGCTGAACAAAGTAGGATTTTGACAGGGCTCCTACAGACATGAGTTTTGGAAAACAATAATAAATTTACTCCTCACTTTGCTAAAAGTATTTCCTGCCTTGAAGAAAATGGGCACTAAAGTGAGCACACATCTCTCTAGACCACATGTGTCAAGCTCAAGGCTTGCTGGCTGAATTTGGCCCATCATTTGCTGGATGGGCTACAACTCCTATATATCTCGTCATTAGACATCACGAGCAGAGCTAATGGGAGTTGTGATATAATAACATCTGGAAAGCTGAGGTTTGTTCTGTTTAGTCAGTAGAGTGGGTTTTGGATTTAGATACAAGACTTGTGGATAGGACGCCTGACTTTTTAATTATTAATTATTGTTAAACTTTATTTGTACCCCACTAGCATCTCCCGAAGGACTCAATGCGGCTTACAAAGGCCAAGGCCTCAACGCAACAACAGCAAAACAATAACAATACAATTCAAAGCAAATAAAAACATAAGCAATAACAAAACATTACACCATTACGCAATAAAACCAGGGCCGGGCCAGTGATGGGTACAGGTTAAAAAGTGCTGGGTGTGGCAGGTGGTATGTTGGATTTTTGGGCAAGTGCAATGTGCAGAGTCTTAAACTCTAATAAAGTGCTTCTGGGACATAGTGCTGGGAGTTATCCTATTCCAGAAAGGCACAGTGGAATAGCCAGATCTTCAAGTTCTTCCTAAAGACTGCCAACGTGGGTGCTAGTCTAATGTCTTTAAAATGCCCTTTAACCTTTCCCCAATCTCACAGCCAGAAATGCTGTTGTGTTACAGTTCCTATTATTCCCAGTCTACAATGAGGATAATAAAACAGGATAGGAGTTGTCATTCTATCATATATGGGAACCCAAACCAAGTAAAAAAACTAGACAACCAAACAGTATGTTAAACATTATAGTTGGGCATCTGTATCCATGGTTTTCCATCAATGGATTCAGCAGCTCTTTGAATGCAACCATAAGGCTGCTGAAAATGATTTGACACCCCTGCTCTAGGCAAACTCATTAATTGAGCATCACAAGTGCGGCTGGCGGGGACGAGGGACAGGGCCTTCTCGGTGGTGGCCCCTCGGCTATGGAATGCCCTACCAGTGGAGATCAGGCAGGCCCCCTCGCTATTGGCGTTTAGGAGGCGGGTTAAGACGTGGCTCTTCGAACAGGCGTTCGGATAAGCATGCAATAACATCTGACTCAGAAGACGGCATACTGAACAAGGAATGGTAAAACGACTATGAGATTTGGATCTGATTCTATTCGAGGCGTGATGACGTTTTGTGTATTGTTTGTGGTTGTTTGTCATATATATTGTTCAATGTTGCACATTTTACTGTAAACCGCTTAGAGTCGCCGTTGGCTGATATTTGCGGTATACAAAAGGAATAAATAAATAAATAAATAAAAATAAGTCTGAGTTTTTACCTCCTGGAGCGATGATTGGACAGGGACAAAACCAGATAGCATCTTCAAATCAACAATGGCCATGTTGGATGTGTTGCGCCCGCCAGTGTAACTTGAAATAAAAACAAACCCAAATCATTTTGTATTCTGATATATTGTGAAGAGTTTAATGATTCAAAACATTTACAGACTCTGATAAAATGTTAAGAACTCTGTAGAAAGTTAATTCAAATTCTGCACTTTTCAAGCTGTGAAAGTTATACAACTTTCCTTTAAAAGTACACATTTCTTGATTTTGCTTAAATTATTTGGTATTTTTCATTATTTACTCTTTTATTTGGAGAAAGAAAATACATTATATAGGCAGTGCACATATTATTTATCCCTTATTTTCCCTACTTCCAAGATTTCCCAGAATCCACAATTCCAAATGCCTCTTTGTATTCATTAAGTATAAAGGACTTGTTTTCACTTTTAAATTGAAGCTGGAGGTTTTTCCTAGTAGAAGCTCCTTCCAAAATTAGTTAAGAAGGACCAATATGGCTTTTTTAAAGGAAGGAGTATTAGTCATCCATTAAGAAACATAGTAAATATAATAGGAATCAAGTACAATAATGCATGGGCTATGATAAAACTAGATGTTTATAAAGCTTTTGATTAGGTAAATCATGAGTATTATATAGAGTCCTAGATAAATATGAGTTCAACAGAGAGTTTATCAAGATGTTAGAGGAGTTGTATAGCGAGATTGACGGGAGGATTAGGATAAATAATAAACTGTCAGAAAGAATACCAATACAAAAAGGGGTTAGGCAAGGATGCCCTCTATCAACTTTAATTTTTACATTAGTAATTGAGCCCTTAGCGGATAGAATAAGGAGTAATGGAAGGATTAAAGGATATAGAATAGGGAAGGAGGAAATCAGAATTAATTTATTTGCAGATGACATTTTAATTACAACAGAAAACCCAAGAGAAACCTTGAGAGAAATTAAAGTAATTTTGGAAGATTTTTAAAATGTTTTTATTTTATTTTATCATGATTCAATACATTTGTTACACATTGTTTGTTTTGCAGCAGATTTTGGAAGATTTTGATAAAGTAACCAGCCTGAAAATAAATCTAGCAAAATCAGAAATTCTAACAATGAATATGAATAAGAGAAAAATTAAGGAAATTCAGGATGAGGAGATAATTAAGATAGCCAAGAGAAAGATTTGTTATTTGGGAATTCAGATAGTTAGCAATGACGACAAATTATGAGATAATAATTATAATGTGATTTGGAGGAGAATTAGAAGGCAATTAAGAGGCTGGAAAGGAAAAACCTATCAATCTCAAGGAGAATCAGAGCGCTAAAAATGTGTGTAATACCGAAAATGTTGTATTTCTTTCAGACTCTGCCAGTGACTGGGTCAAATAGCTCAGTGGGATAAGGAGTTATGAGAATGGGTATTTGGAGGAAAGAAAGCAAGAGTGGCTCAGAAAATAGTTTATGCAAGAAGTGATCAACTGGGTTGGGGAGTCCCAAACCTACAAGCATATTATTAAGTTTTTCAGTTGAAGTATATCATGGAAATAGATAAGAGAAGTCAGAAATGGATTAGAATAGAAAATGAAAGAAATGGATATAAAGGAAAATCTGGTATTTTTAGGAAGAATATAAAAGGAAATATAAAAGGAACACAGGGTCCTAGAAGATTAACTTTTACAGTATGGGAAAAATGGCAAAAGCAATGGATCCCCACATTGTCTAAATGGTCACCATTATATCGCTTGTTTGAGGCTGAAGAGGAGTGCTGGCTGAAGAAGTTAAATAGAGTGAAATTTTTAAGAGTGAGGGATTTATATAATAATGGAGGAGATTTGATGGATTTTATGGAGTTGATGGGAAAAGGGATAAGAGAAAATTGGTTGAAATTGAGAGGATTATGGGAAATGGTTAAGAAGGGAGTAAAAAATAAGTTGGATTCTCTGATCTGACAAAGGGAAGAAGGTAAAAAGCGGGGAGCGGGAGTAATATACAAAATGATAGTGGAAGCAAAAGGAATGATGTTTAGAATGATAATATTCTGGAATGTGTCCAGAGGAGGGCGACTAAAATGATCAAGGGTCTGGATAACAAGCACTATGAGGCTTGTTCTCCAGAACCTCCTAATAGTCTCGTGCATTTGTATGGAATTGCTATCCATTTTTGGTTTTTTTTTTTCATTCGTTTGGTCCCGTTTTCATTTTTGTTCTGCATCCAAAAGAATGAAAATTGTTGGACCATTGGCGGCAATGGGAGGGCTTTTCAGGCTTCCCCTCCCTTCAGTTTTAGGACCAAAGGTGACTCACAGAGGGTAGGGACTGGAATCAAAACAAGGAAATACAGAGGTTGGGGAAGAAAGAAAATGTAGTTTTCCCAAGGGCCAGTTAAAGAGAAGAGAAACTGAAGGTTTGATAGAGAGATAGTGGTTTTCATGGGTCTGGATCAAGGGTCTGGAGAACAAGCCCTATGAGGAGCAGCTTAAGGAGCTGGGCATGTTTAGCCTGAAGAAGAGAAGGCTGAGAGGAGATATGATAGCCATGTATAAATATGTGAGAGGAAGCCGCAGGGAGGAGGGAGCAAGCTTATTTTGTGCTTCCCTAGAGACCAGGACACGGAACAATGGCTTCAAACTACAAGAAAGGAGATTCCATCTGAACATAAGGAAGAACTTTCTGATTGTGAGAGCCGTTCAGCAGTGGAACTCTCTGCCCCAGAGTGTGGTGGAGGCTCCGTCTTTGGAAGCATTTAAACAGAGGCTGGATGGCCATCTGTCAGGGGTGCTTTGAATGCAATATTCCTGCTTCTTGGCAGGGGGTTGGACTGGATGGCCCATGAGGTCTCTTCCAACTCTTTGATTCTATATTCTAATACAAACATGGAGTAATGAAAGGACATTTTCAGAGGAAAGGGTGGAAAAGATAATGAAGGGGGTATGTATCAGTAAAATGGAAAAATTTCAAGAACTAGTAAAAAAAGATTTATCAAAAATGGCACAGAACCGCAGCTCAGTTAGCATATATGATAAAAGGGTACTGTTCAAACTGTTGGCATTGTAAAAAGGGGAAGGGATGGTTTACACATATGTGGTGGGAATGTGGGGAAGGGCTGATATTCTGGAAAAGGGTATTAAAACAAATAAATGGGTTATTCAAGGTAAATGTGTACATTAGGCCAGGACTGTTGGAAATTGGAACGTTGGGTCTACAAACGCTGAAGAAAGAAGACCAACAAACTTTGATGGTGATGGTTACAGCTGCCCATGCTGTAATAGCATTGCGATGGAAGGATAAAAAAGGACAATGGACAAATGGAATTAATACATTTATGAACAAGTACAATAGGATATTATGGGAATAATACAACAAGATATTCCATGGATTACAAAAATACAAAGAATCAAAGAGTACTGGTTAAAATATGTGAAATGGATTGAAGAAGGGAAAGCTAATGATCAGATAAAGGAGAAAATGGACAGACTCCTGGACTGGCTGCACTGAAAAATGCTTTGTAAAGTTGGAGGGAGGGGGGAGGGGGAAAAGGGGGAAAATGTAATGTTTTATGGATGTATATAAAGTAAGTTTATTTCTATGTATTAGATGGATACCATTGCAATAAAAACATTTAAAAAGAGGTTTTTCTTAGTAAGCTGAATTCTGTACTTTTTGTGTATCCATAGAAACATGGTGTGCAAGACCCATATGGTTGATCCCAATCACATGCAAATCAATATGTTCTTGACTACACTTGATCTTAGCCAAAAGGCCGAGGTGGGTAATAAATAAAAAATATATTACTATTATTATTGCTGCTGCTGCTGTTGTTATTAATAATTGCTTAGACTTTGGACTTTCACACAAAGAAATAGATTATTAACAACACACCAGGAACAAAAAAACTGCCCCTTTTCAATTTATTTTGCCCTGTTTGGTAACATAACTGGCAAAAAACAGACTTTAGTTCAGTAGTCTACTTTCCTTTTCCAAATAATATTTCAAATGGAACATTACCTGGCTGTCACAACGATAGCAAATTTGGGTAGGAAGTCGCCTGTACAGGAAGCATTTCTTGTCTCTACTGAGAGAGCAAACCCAGAGGTCTCTTTGGGAAGGATGACGTTGTACCTCAAAGTTGTCTGAAAAAGGGGAGGAAAAGGCCATATAGCATCAGCTGCTGTTGTATTACCAGTCTTGATGCTGTGTCTCTAATACATTACTCATTTACCTGTGTGTAGACACATCCAGAACCATCTACTTTCACACTGTAACTTCCTTCTGCACTGGGCAGAGCAACCTGCTGAAGCAGAACACTGTTGTCTCCATTCACCACAAACTGCTTCTTGAAAGATTCCCCAGAGCTGATGTCTACTGTGTTGGCAGCATCTTTTTGGTGAGTAAGGGTCCCATATCCAGATAAAGCTTGGAGTGCCACAGGAGTGTCCTGGAGGATACAATAAAACTCTTGATAAGAAAACAATGTGTCTGATCTCATTAAGCACACTTGCACCTCACTCCCTTCAAGATGCTGAGGGTGATACACCTGGGGAATGTTTGATTTTGCTTTGACAACTCTGAAAACTAGGGAAGGCTCAGTGAGCTTATGGCTGAACAGAGATTTTCAGTCAAGTCTTTCCAGTCCCACAGTTTTACATTTCCCACTTCATTGCTCTGATTCTTCCCAGCATGTGTTAGGAGGCTCTCAAAATGTGAAAGAGAAAAATAATGGAATAAACCTTGCATTTGATTAGCCTCTAGAGCAGGGGTCCCCAAACTTTTTAAACAGAGGGCTAGGTCATAGTCCCTCAAACTGTTGGAGGGCTGGATTATAATTGGAAAAAAACATGAATGAATTCCTATGCACACTACACATATCTTATTTGTAGTGCAAAAAACATTTAAAAACAATACAATAATTAAAATGATTTTAACAAATATAAACTTATTGATATTTCAATGGGAAGTGTGGGCCTGCTTTTGGCTGATGAGATATGGTTGTTGTTGTTGTGTGATTTCAGGCAGTTTCAGATTTAGGTTGACCCTGCGTGAGGGCTGGGTAAATGACCTTGGAGGGCCGTATCCAGCCCCCGGGCCTTAGTTTGAGGACCCCTGCTCTAGAGGTAAACAGAGAAATAACTAAGTCACAGTGAAATTCCAAATTCCTTGGATGCTTTCGTGATAGGAAAAGCAAGGCAAATGTAAAATGGAAACAATTGTCTAAATGTGCTTTTTTCACAATAATGGTACAATGTTAATTCTTCTGTGGAACTTGAAATGGAGAAACTGGGAGCCAGTTCAAGAAATTTTGTAATCATAGTCTCCCTCTAATCCATAAGATATATTTATTTTGATTAAATATGCCTTCAGAGTCCAAGAGAAGCAGATGTTTAATGCTTTTCACCATACAAATATGTTGTGTAACTTAGAAACTAAAGATGGAGAAATGTACATTCCTGAAAGCAGTGAATTCCCTCAACACCTCCTATTCCAGAACATGAACAAACCTAAAATGAACAAAAAATATGAGCATGAGCCAATAAATTCAATTAATTTGAATCAGAAGAAAAGAGATTGCTATGTGAAATTTTCTTTTACATTGGAATGGATTGGACACAGGTTGGATAGCCGTACTGCACGGTGGTTTAGCAGTGGATTGCTCAATTGGCTGGGATGGTAATAACTGGGCCTTGAGGCACTTTCCAATTCTTTGACAGACAAAGGATGTACCGTATATTCCGGCATATAAGACGACTGGGCGTATAAGACGACCCCCAACTTTTCCAGTTAAAATATATTGTTAAGACAATTCCCATGCATAAGACTACACCCGCGTATAAGACGACCCCTGACTTTTGAGAAGATTTTCTTGGGTTAAAAAGTAGTCTTATACGCCAGAATATACTGTAATTCTTCCCATAGCATATAATTCATTTAAAAGTCACCTGACTGGAGGAGAAGCCTCCATTGAAGTTCTGTTGCCTGACAATCCAATGTGCAATCCCCGAGGCAAAAGTCATGTTCTCCTGGGAGAGGTTTTCTTGCTTGAGATAAGCTGTTAGGCAATAACTGTTGATCTCAACCTCGGCAGACTGGGCACGAGGATAGAAGGAAGGAAACAGTTGTGGTGGGGGCCTCTTCTCCCTTTCCCAGTACACCAGTCCCCCTGAGAATGCAGAAGAAAATATTAGAGCTCGGGCAGTAAACTCCTGTCAGGACAATTGGACATTTACCCATAGCTAGATTCATTGTTGTTCATCCTGACCAGCAGTAGTCATTCTCTCACATGTGTCCCATAGATTAATGTCCTCATCACATGGAGCATTTGCCCTGCCATAAGACACTTCATCTCCATTTCAAGGATGAAGACTCATGGAGCCAATAAGCAGACATTTGCCTACTTCCAGCTGCCATCCATTGCCTTTCATCCTTGAAATGGAGATGAAGTATGCTGAAAGGAGGGAGCTCAGAACATGGGTGAGTAATCATGTTCTGAGCACCTGGTGTGCACCAGAACATCACTAATGCAGGAAAACACATGTGATGGGATCTGGCAGATTCGCCCATGTGTTGTCACACCCAGACACTATAAAGTTAAAACTATGATGTGCTTCTTTCTTTATCCGAGTGAACTGCGGGGGCCTTACTTTGAAGCTCAGGATTCCCAGTAACTAAGGCCACTCCAGATTTGAACATCAAACAGGATTTTTTATTTTCTCAAAGTCCTTGTCAGACTTGGCACAACTTGTTGAGGTTACAGTCAACTTGTGAAATCATATGGATGTTCCTTTCTTCCTTTTCCCTTCAGCTGCTGGGTTAACTTCCTCCAATGGTAGAAAAATCCTGGGATTCTCTACCCTAGCCCTGAGCTGCTATATTATAAAGAGCAGGTCTTTCCTATCTAAGCTCAAAGCTAGCTTGGAGATGAAGTAGTAGAGCCTCTCCCAATGGCAGAGAAATCCTGGGATATTCTCTGCTCTAATGCTGAGCTGCTATTTTTAGAAAGAGCAGGTCTTTCCCTATCTAAACTCAGCACCAGTTTCAAAGGCAAGAGGGTAAGTACTTATGATGGCTTTTCTGAGCTGGCCTGGCTGACCACAAGCACATCTGAGACTTTTTCTAAACTGAAGAAGGCAGAAGAGCTTCTCCAAAATGAAGATCTCATCCCCAGGAAAAAGGGCAGTCTCTAGACCGAAAAGATACTTTTTCAGGCCAATAACAGCAAAAGCTTTGCAGGCTTCTTTTCCAGCCTCTGTTAACGGCTAACTATCAGGGTGCTGCTGAGTCTGTAACAACCCTGGGAGAAATGCAAAAAAAAGGTGCGATTTCCTACAATTATGGGGCAATGCAAATCAAACTACTGGGAGACGGAACAGCCCATGTCGAATCGCTTCAGTGATGTGGAGGAATGGGCGTTCCTCATCACTTTGCTAGCACTGCATTTTCTCCTTAACAGTAATCTATATTCGAAATTGTGCACTTTTTAACATAACATTGGCCTAATGGAGGGAAGGAAAGCACAGCAGGAGGGGAGCATGGAAAAATGGTTTATAATTACACTGGTCTAATGAAAGGGAGCACAGGATTGCGAAAGGGGAATCATTGCAAAGGGGTTATAATTACACTGGTTCCTCCCTCCTTGTCTTCTTCCCTAAATCCTTTCCTTCCCCCCTTTCTTTTCTCTCCTCCCTTCCTCCCTTCCACAGCAGAGGTTAAGAATTACATTGGTCTAATGATGGGTGCACAGGCTTGTAAAAGAGGATCCCTGCAAAGGGGTTATAATTACATTGGTTCCTCCCTGCCCGTCTTCCTCCCTCATTTTCTTTCTTCTTTTCTTCACCCTTTCTTTCCTCTCTCTCTCCCTCTCTCTCTCCCTCCCACGGTAGGATTTCCTTGATTTTTTTAAAAGTAATATTGAGAGGGAGTAGAAAAAGATTATCCATGTGATGGTTCAAACATGGGCAACAATGGGAGGAAAACTGAAGAGGGAAATACATGTGATGGGAAGACAGAACTTGAAATATGACAATTGGGGATCAAAAGGTACAATTCCCTTCATTAGACAGATGCTTCTCAAGGTCCATGTAATGAGATCCTAAGTCTAAAGAAATTAGCACTAACAACAACAACAACAAACGCCTAAATGGCATGGGGGCGAGGGAGGCTAGCCTGGTGAAGAGTTCTAGCTACATGATAAGAGTATTTATTTGGACTAAATAAAATTGTTCCCCAACCGTTGTCCTTTTGCACCCATGGACCGCATCACTACTACTTCTGTTTATTTTTAAATGTCCCATTCTGATTTATTGAGATATATCATGGCAAGGTGGAATCCAAATAGTTTCTATCTGCTAATAGAAGACTTCCAGAAATCCACCCTATTCCCGAATGACCCCCGTGCAGATGTTCAGGGAACGCCAAGCCTCTGGAACATTTAAGGATGAAGAGAGAGGTCTGCTTCATGCTAGTTCAAACTCCACTGCAACTGTAGCATTTACAAAGTTATGCAAGGACTGCAAATATGTCAAAGGCAGGGATGTAGATGGTTTGAGATGGTTTTAACAATTTGATTTTAAAGGGGATACAACGGATTTTAATGTTTGTGTATATTTATAGCTTGTTTTATTCCGGCATTGAATGTTTGCCGTATATATGTTGTGCTCTGCCCTGAGTCCCCTTTGGGGTGAGAAGGGCAGAATATAAATGCTTTAAATAAATAAATAAATAAATAAATAAATAAATAAATGTACATTCAAGCACTCTCCTCAGTTTCTCTATGTGCCTCCCTCTCTTTTGGGCTCTGTTATACTTTCATAGAACAAATAGAATAAATATTATTATAGAATAAATGTTTTTCAAAGGACATTTTTGGGCTTCTGTTGAATGATGCTTTCTCACTTATCATAGAATCACAGAGTTGGAAGAGACCTCATGGGCCATCCAGTCCAACCCCCTGCCAAGAAGCAGGAATATTGCATTCAAAGTACCCCTGACAGATGGCCATCTAGCCTCTGTTTAAAAGCTTCCAAAGACGGAGCCTCCACCACACTTTGGGGCAGAGAGTTCCACTGCTGAACGGCTCTCACAGTCAGGAAGTTCTTCCTCATGTTCAGATGGAATCTCCTTTCTTGTAGTTTGAAGCCATTGTTCCGTGTCCTAGTCTCCAAGGAAGCAGAAACCAAGCTTGCTCCCCGCTCCTTGTGGCTTCCTCTCACATATTTATACATGACTGTCATATCTCCTCTCAGCCTTCTCTTCTTCAGGCTAAACATGCCCAGCTCCTTAAGCCGCTCCTCATAGGGCTTGTTCTCCAGACCTTGATCCAGACCCATGAAAACCACTATCTCTCTATCAAACTTCCAGTTTCTCTTCTCTTTAACTGGCCCTTGGGAAAACTACATTTTCTTTCTTCCCCAACCTCTGTATTTCCTTGTTTTGATTCCAGTCCCTACCCTCTGTGAGTCACCTTTGGTCCTAAAACTGAAGGGAGGGGAAGCCTGAAAAGCCCTCCCATTGCCGCCAATGGTCCAAAAATTTTCATTCTTTTGGATGCAGAACAAAAATGAAAACGGGACCAAACGAATGAAAAAACACCCAAAATGGATAGCAATTCCATACAAATGCACAAGACTATTAGGAGGTAGAATCATAGAATCAAAGAGTTGGAAGAGACCTCATGGGCCATCCAGTCCAACCCCCTGCCAAGAAGCAGGAATATTGCATTCAAATCACCCCTGACAGATGGCCATCCAGCCTCTGTTTAAAAGCTTCCAAAGAAGGAGCCTCCACCACACTCCGGGGCAGAGAGTTCCACTGCTGAATGGCTCTCACAGTCAGGAAGTTCTTCCTCATGTTCAGATGGAATCTCTTCTCTCATGCATTTTTATGGAATCACAATCTCACTAATTTTTCATCAGCTCCTTGCACAACTCTGGAGTACTTGAAGCTGAAGTTTTACATAGGAGTTCGGTTTCCCCTTAGTTCATCTTCAGATATAACTGGAAGGACTCTGAATTATTTGTTACCAGGGCTGCATTAATGGAATTCTTGTATGTGACTCCCTGCCTCATCCTGCCAAAAACTGTCCCATGGACCTCCAAATGTGCATCTCCATTGAAAAACTAAAATCAAAAACATATTTATTTTTAAGTTCTTGTGGGTTTTTTCGGGCTATATGGCCATGTTCTAGAGGCATTTCTCCTGACGTTTCGCCTGCATCTATGGCAAGCATCCTCATAGATGCAGGCGAAATGTCAGGAGAAATGCGTCTAGAACATGGCCATATAGCCCAAAAAACCCCACAAGAACTTAGTGATTCCAGCCATATTTATTTTTGTTTTCTTCCCAATTGCTATGCTTTTTTTTTGTTAATCCTTATTTTCTTAGGCACTGTGCCTGAAATACATAATAGAGAAAACATCTCTGCTATTCCTACTCTGACTTTGGGTTCCAAGGCTAATCTGGGTCTGAAAAGTGATGGCTTCACTTCTACCATCTCAGCCCAAGCAGTTGTTATATCTACACAATTAAGGTTAGAAGAATGAAAAGTATTTAATACCAGACATGGATGCCCTGTTGTTTGCTTCTGGATGCAAGAGCAAAACACTTACCAGTTCTAGTAGCAGATGTCATCAGGACATTAAAGATACGGTTCACTTTTTCCATGTCACCAGCTAAGCTGTAGGTATGGGCCAATAGAGCATTGACATAGAGATGTTCAGAATCCCTGTCAGAAAGAGCAGCCAAGCAGGAGAGACCGCTCCGCACCACAGGATCCTATTGTTTAAGATACAGATTATTTATTAACACATGATATGAAAACATTTCATTTTTACCAACTGACTAACCTCATTGTTAGGATACTTGCATATGAACTAAATACCTAAGTGCACATTCCATTTCCTAGAGACCTCTGGAAACATTCAATTTGGCTTCCATCGCTCAGTGAAGTGTTTCTCAATCTTCCTAATGCCACGACCCCTTAATACAGTTCCTCATGTTGTCGTGACCCACAACCATAAAATTATTTTCACTGCTAATTCGTAAGTTCTTGCTACGTTTATGAATTGTAATGTAAATATCTGATATGCAGGATGTATTTTCATTCACTGGACCAAATTGGGCACAAATACCCGATACACCCAAATTTGAATACAGGTGGGGTTGGGGGAGGGGGTATTTGTCATTTGGGAGTTGTAGTTGCTGGGATTTATAGTTCACGTACAAAGAGCATTCTGAACCCCACCAATGATGGAATTCAACCAGCCTTAGCACACAGAACTCTCATGACCAAAAGAAAATACTGGAAGAGTTTGGTGGGCATTGGCCTTGAACACAGGCAAAGTTTGGGGAAAACAGGCCTTGACATTTGGGAGTGGTAGTTGATGGGATTTATAGTTCACGTACAAAGAGCATTCTGAACCCCACCGACAATAAAATTGGGCCAAACTTCCCACACAGAACCCCCATGACCAACAGAAACTACTGTGTTTTCTGATGGTCTTTGGTGACCCCTCAAATACCCTCTCACCCCCCCCCCACCACAGGGATCCCGACCCCCAGGTTGAGAAACACTGTCTCAGTGGGAGATGGTTGCTATATGACAAATCTATTGAGTTGCTACATGCAGATTGAGGCAATGTACTTTGACGATAAAGTATGTGGAAATGTATCCATGAAAATGTAGTCAACAAGAAGAGACTTTAATTGTTAAACTAGGTAGCTAAAAAGCCGAACATTGATTCACAGACAATCCAAGTCTCATTCATAATGAGAAAGGATTGAAGATGGGACAACTTTCCACCATTGAGGCATGAGGTTTACAACAGAAGAAAGGTCAGAGAAAAATGCAAGGTGAACTCTGGCAGACACATAGAAGTTCACTGGAATGAAGGCAAATAAGAATTTTGGGGACATGACAGTACTTAACGTTAAGAATAGATGGCTACTGTAAGCATCTGGAGAAGATTTTCCAGATTAATTTCTTATCCCCTTTCTACACTATTCCATATCATTAAATCTCATTTTCCTGGTTGGGCTGGCAAAGGTTGCAGATCTGTGGTTGTGACATTGGCCACAGAGAAAAGGAAAACTGGAACTCTCGCTTTTTAAACAACCCAACGGAAATCCAAGGAAATTGCCCATTTCCACATGAGATTGGAAATGGAAATCCATTCACAAGCTTGAACTTTAGGTGGGGAACTTCTGAAGGTGTTTAGGCAGAATGTAAACTAGCACATGTTGCAGTTATTATTATATACTGGTGTGAGTGGACTGGCCTTGAAGGAGCTGGGGATGGTGATGACTGACAGGGAGCTCTGGCGTGGGCTGGTCCATGAGGTCACGAAGAGTCGGAGACGACTGAACGAATGAACAACATACAGACACGGACCAAACTGATCAACAAAACCGTTCTTGTGAACCTCCTGTTGCTTGTTCAGGATAGTTTCACAGTGGATTGTAATTAACTGTGCCCTTGGTTTATCACAAATATTTAAGAATAACTAAAGGGACATGGAAACCCTCATATTACACCTCTTTGTAGATAATTCAAATAAACATGGTGCCTCCACGAGAAAGGTTATATTTTACTGGATTTGGCAAATGTCCTACCCTAATCATATTTTACCTGCCATGTCCAGCATATTTTAAAATTTTAATTATTACATTTGGCCCAGCCATAAGTTTTTAAATGTCGTCATGCTATTGTTAATGTTTATTTTTTGTTATGAGTTTTATTTACTGCTTGTATTACTGTTGCTTTTGCTTTTGTTATTGCTGTATTGTCAGCTCGGCCTCATGTAAGCCGCACTGAGTCCCTTGGGGAGATGGTAGAGGGGTACAAATAAAGCTTTATTATTATTATTATTATTATTACTATTATTATTATTATTATTATTATTATTATTATTATTATTATTATTAAAATTGGCTAAGTGCCCAAACCTGAGGATATAACCTTGAAAGAAAGATTTAGAAGTGTAAGTGCAGAACGGGTGAAGATCTCAGAGAATTTGCTTGGGAGGTATCAGTGAAAACTGACATCACAATAAATCCGTACCGACTGGGGAAGTCCACTTTCCAATAGTGAAGCAGTGACATAAGCGGTGACTATAGTTCTCTCATCTGCTCCATCCTGTATTCAAAGAGAGAAAAAAAAATCAAACAAAAGTGCAAATAAGAACACATATTCCCCACTCTAAAGTGATAAGTGTGTGTGATTTTTTTTTTTGCTGTGGTCTCTCTTAGAAGTCAAAGGACATCTAAACAAATATATTTTATGTGAAAAAGCTAAATATTAATTCATTTTTTTTCATTCAATTTTTAGAACATGCTTTTTATAAATTTTGGGTTTGACTAGGAGGGAGAATAAGAATGTTTTTCTAGAAGTCATTAAAAATAAAGATTTAGAAATTAAATAGAGGTGTTTTTTTTTTCTCACAGTCAGGAAGTTCTTCCTCATGTTCAGATGGAATCTCCTTTCTTGTAGTTTGAATCCATTGTTCCATTGTGTCCTAGTCTCCAGGGAAGCAGAAAACAAGCTTGTTCCCTCCTCCCTCTCACATATTTATACATGGTTATCATGTGTAGACTCAGCCTTCTCTTCTGCAGGCTAAACATGCCCAGCTCTTTAAGCCGCTCCTCATAGGGCTTGTTCTCCAGACCCTTGGTCATTTTTGTTGCCTTCCTCTGGACACATTCCAGCTTGTCAATATCTCTCTTGAATTGTGGTGCCCAGAATTGGACACAATATTCCAGGTGTGGTCTAATCAAGGCGGAATTGGGGGGTAGCATTACTTACCTGGATCTAGACACTATGCTCCTATTGATGCAGGCCAAAATCCCATTGGTTTTTTTTGCCGCTACATGACATTGTTGGCTCATGTTTAACTTGTTGTCCACGAGGACCCCAAGATCTTTTTCGCACGTACTGCTCTCAAGCCAGGCATCCCCCGTTCCGTATCTTTGCATTTTGTTTTGTTTGTTTGCCTGCATTTGTCACTCTAATCTGTCAAGATGGTTTTGAATCCTGCTCCTGTCTTCTGGAGTATTGGCTATCCCTCCCAATTTGGTGTTGTCTGCAAACTTGATGATCCTGCCTTCTAACCCTTCATCTAAGTCATTAATAAAGATGTTGAACAGGACCAGGACCAGGACGGAACCCTGCAGCTGGATAAGAATAAAGGAAACTGGGCCTCAAAAAAATCTTGTTGTGGGTGTCTACTACAGATCTCTGAGATAGGATGCAGTACTCAATGAAGCCCTCTTTCAACAGTTGACTGAACAGGCACAAAGAAGAGATATAGTAGTCATGGGCGATTTCAACAAGCTGGAATGTGTCCAGAGAAGGGTGACTAAAATGATCAAGGGTCTGGAGAAAAAGCCCTATGAGGAGCAGCTTAAAGGGCTAGGCATGTTTAGCCTGCAGAAGAGAAGGCTGAGAGGAGACATGATAGCTGTTTATAAATATGTGAAGGGAAGTCATAGGGAGGAGGGAACAGGCTTGTTTTCTGCTGCCATGGAGACTAAGACGCGGAACAATGGCTTCAAACTACAGGAAAGGAGATTCCACCTGAACATGAGGAAGACCTTCCTGACTGTGAGAGCCGTTCAGCAGTGGAACTCTCTGGCCTGGAGTGTGGTGGAGGCTCCTTCTTTGGAGGCTTTTAAACAGAGGCTAGATGGCCATCTATGGGGGATGCTTTGAATCCTATTTTCCTGCTTCTTGGCACGGGCTTGGCCTAGATGGCCCACAAGGTCTCTTCCAACTCTATGATTATATGATTAACTGCCATTGTTCAGTGCTACAGAGAGTTGTAATTTTAAATGGTCTTTAGCTTACTCTGCCTTACCAAACTAGAAATTTTAGGATTCCATAAGGTAGATCCATGTCAGTTAAAGTGATATCAAATAGCACCCACTGTACAGTGCAGATGGACCCCAGGAGTCAGTCTACTGGGTCAAAGGCAGTGGGTCTAGAGTGCAAAGAATTCCCATGATACCTGTAAGGCATTGTTGTAGATTTTCCCTTGTGGCTGGAAGCAGCCATCTGCCTCCTGTTTGCTTGCAATCCATATGAGTGCTTGGCTCAAGACGTTGTCATCTACAAATATAGCAGACTTGCTTTGTGCTAATGCTTTGTAGACCATAGCGGTGAGCCTGGTGGGGAAAAAAATGGGAGGATTTATGAATGAAGACAGCAAGTGACAAGACAGAGAAGTGTGCAGTATAAATCAAATAGATGCTATTCTCTGCTCTCAGTCTTAAAGATGGTACATTGTTCTCACCAAAGATTTCCTTCTACTTTCTTGCTACCAAAAGTCCCAAAGGATCCATCATAGTTTCTGAAATTCAGTTGCCTCTGGTACCCTAAAGTGGAAGAAAAATTATGAAATTCACTTTGGTGGTTGTCTCCCCCACCTTTAAATGAAACATCATTTCAAGTGGGTTATAATTCTGAGATTAGCTCAGCCTCATACAGTCAACATTTAGGCCTCCAGTTAGTGTTGATCCTGTTAAAATATTAAAGAGAATGTAGATGTTGTCTGCACTCCTATCATTTTCAAAATCAAGCTAAGCTTTGGAGCAAGTCTTCTATAAAATATTTTCCAGGAATAAATATTGGTAATGATATTTTGATTCTATCCTACATTTAGGCCAGTCCTGATCCATGATTATATGACATAGCTATGTGGGGAGAAACATACACATATGTACAAATGTTTCTAGGTTTGAGAGGGAGTAAAATGAGGAAATTGTGTACTACTATAATGGTACTTGGAGCTAGAAGTGCAGAGGGAATGTTACTCCACCCCACAAAACAAGAGAAGACAACATTTCAGCATATACTGTGTCACCAGCAACATTCCTGCAGATGACTAATTTTGTCACTGAAATGTCTTGGAAAATCAGCTGTCAGTGTCAGTGGGTGAGACAGGAGCCCCCGGTGGCGCAGTGGGTTAAACCCCTGTGCCAGCAGGACTGAAGACTGACAGGTCGCAGGTTCGAATTCAGGGAGAGGTGGATGAGCTCCCTCTATCAGCTCCAGCTCCTCATTTGGGGACATCTGTCAGGGGTGATTTGAATGCAATATTCCTGCTTCTTGGCAGGGGTTTGGACTGGATGGCCCATGAGGTCTCTTCCAACTCTTTGATTCTATGATTCTATGATTCTATGATTCTATGATTCTATGATTCTATGATTCTATGACATGAGAGAAGCCTCCAACAAGGATGATAAAAACATCAAAGCATCCAGGCATCCCCTGGGCAACGTCCTTGCAGACGGCCAATTCTCTCACACCAAAAGCGACTTGCAGTTTCTCAAGTTGCTCCTAATACGACAAAAAAAAAAGTGGGTGAGACCTCAGTATTGAATGCACTGGTCTAGATGAAAATGATCGCATCAGGTTATATGAAAAAGGTGAAATGGGCAGCTGCTCGGAGACATACCTATTTACACAATTTCCCCTAGATTGAAAATTACTGTATTTATATTTATTCTAACTGTGTGTTGTTGTTTTTTTTTAAAAAAAAAGGATTTTATATGTAAACTTCATAGAGATATTATTACACTATGCATTGTACAAGTATCACAAACTGATATGGTATAGTGCTGAAATCAGAACAAAGAAACGTTCAGCTTACAGACACATACATTATAGTTAGGGTGCCATTAAAAAAAAGGCTACTCACCACTAGTTAAGTGCCCAACAATCCTGGATCTTTTTTCATCTGTCAGCTGCTTCGTGTTGTTCAGATACCTCAAGATGATGTAGTTTGATAAGAACATGGCAATATTCTGTTCCCCGCACCCATAGGGCATCTGGAGAAGATTTTCAGAGTTCTGCATGGCTGTCCCCATAACATCTCCTGTGGACCAAGATAAAGCAGTAATTCAATTAATCCTCCCTAGAGCCAGAGGAAACTGTGTGAAGAGTCACAGTTTCTCTGCGTAAGTGTAAACTTATCAAGATTTTGCATGAAACCGTTTGTTGATCTTGGACAATTACAAAAAATATATATCTTGCTTTATACTCTGCATTGCAGTAATATTCCCATGGTGATTTCCACTGGTTTGGTTTGCCTTCATTCTGTGGCAGACCTCTGTCTTGTCTAGATTGAGTCTCAGCTTGTTAGCCGTTATCCAGTCAATCACAGCTGCCATACACTGGCTCAGGACTGGTGCCATACACTGGCTCAGGACCAGGGCAGCTTCCTTGGCTTTAGGTGGAAATGAATAACAGAGCTGTGTGTCATCTGCATACAGATCACACCAAACTCCAAAACCCTGGATGACCTCTTTCAGAGGTTTCATGTAGATGTTGAAGAGCATGGGGGATAAAATTGAGCCTTGCCGATGGCCAGGAGTCCATTCAGACATCCCCAAGCATCATCTTCTGGGTCTGGTCTCCTAGGAATGAGAGGAGGCCCTGTAGGACAGCCTCCCCAAGTCTCATCCCAGAGAGGCGACCCAGAAGGATATCATGATTGATGGTATCAAAAGCAATTTAGATGCCCAAGGGAACCAACAGGGACACACTCCCCCTGGCTAGTTCTCTGTGGAGGTCATCCACCAAGGGGACCAAAGCTGTCTCTGTTCCATAACCAGGCCTTAACCCAGATTCCTATGTGTCCAGATAATCGGTTTCATCCAAGAATCCATGGATTTGCATAGTGACTACTGACTCTAGAACCTTGTCCAAAAAAAGAAGGTTAGAAATCAGCCAATAGTTGTTTAATAACGGGATCGATTGGGGTAAACTGTAAGGGTGATGCAGATATTTGATCTGGATGAGGACTTTGATCCCTAATGCACAGCTTATTTATTTTAACTTTTGTTGTACTGTGGGTTGCATGCTCTATGTGTATGTGTTAAAATGTGTTTGTCAATGGACTAATACAGTCGATAGGCTAATCAATAAAACCTACTAGTAGTAGTAGTCATGTTCAGTATTTGAAAAGATGTCACATTGAGGAGGGCGCAAGCTATTTTTCTGCTTCTCTAGAGATTAACTTATGGAACAACAGATTCAAACTGCAGGAAAAGAGACTCCATCTAAACATTAGGAAGAACTTCCAGGCAGTGAGAAGTTTTTCCTAATGTATAACAGTAGAGTGTGCCTGGGAGTGTGGTGGAGTCTCCTTCTCTGAAGGTTTCTAAACAGAGCCTAAATTGACATCTGTCAGGAGTGGTTTGATAGTGTGTTCCTACATGACAGGGGGTTGGACAAGATGGCCCTTGGGGTATCTCCCAGCTCTATAATCCTACGAAATTAATTCCTGTAACCTGTGTCTTCAAGCTGGGCACAAAGAAGTTGAAGGGTTTTCAGATAGGAAAGCCAAAGTATTTTGTCCTCTACATATTAGGTGGGTCTTAGGTGAAGTATTTTTTTCTTGGCAGAAAGCTTACCATTGCAGGTACAATTTTAGAAAATCACTCAATATGAAGACTCACAAAAATGCAGAAATAAAGTACAACCAGGAGACAAAAAAACAACATTTTGAAAACTTACCAAGGACAGAGAATATAGCTCTACCTGACCCATCCACCAGATTTTCCGGCAATTTCAAGGTTAGTGACTCAGAGATGGTTGTACCTATGGATTTATAGAAATAAGGAATGACAATATTTGCACAATTTCCACATTATTTTTATGAAATAAAAGCAAAATGTCTCTAAGGTAAGCCATTTGAATCTGAGTGGAAAAACTGGAAATGGGTAGCTCTAGAACTGAGAATAATTTGTTTTCAATATTCTGATCTTAAACATTCCGTGAAATTTCAGCATTGGCTACAAGAACATGTAAAGCTGTCTAAGGCCTTGGATTGTGGTAGGCCAGTCTCTTCTGCTCTCAGAGATATTAAAAGCTAGCATGCAAATTATTATGGAACATTAATAGATAGAAAGTATTGCACTGTATGCAACAAACACTTGCAAATGTATGTCTACTTAAATAAAATAAAATTCAAAAAAAGCTAGCATGCAATGGCATTAATATTGGTCTACTAATTTACAGTACTTCTGTCCCATTTTAATATAAAAAGAATATCTAAAATATTCAGCAATATAACTGAAGATCTTTCAGTGCCAATGGAAAAGTAAACAATTCAAGGTAAAGAACGATTTCTCAGAACTGTGGTGATGATATCGATATCATCATCATCATCATCATCATCACTCTTCTATAAATTTCTCAGCATGGTCTCATAGTTTATTTTTGGAACTACTTACACTATGTAACAAACTTTGAAAAACTGAAAAAAAAATGTTCCTGATTTGAACATTCTATTTCCTGTTTAATTGTGTGTTATTTACTTTGAAAATAGTTGTTATACCTCAGAAACTTTGTTTTTGTGGCTGCCACAAACTATGCTGAATTGATTGAGACTCTATGAGACATTCACTGAAAAACTATAGCAAAATGTGCTGCAGGATGTTTTGCAAAAACAAAGTTTTTGCAGTTTAATAAATCTTTTCCATGTTTTTTCATAAAATCCAATTAGGAAATGATATCTATAACCCAGAAACAATAATTGTGTTATATAGTGTAATTGTCATAACTAGGCCATAACTAATAAGCTTCTAAGGCATACATTATAAATGTTAGATTCAATGTATTGTCGAAGGCTTTCATGACCGGAATCACTGGGTTGTTGTAGGTTTTTTCGGGCTATATGGCCATGGTCTAGAGGCAAAACGTCAGGAGAGAATGCCTCTAGACCATGGCCATATAGCCTGAAAAAACCTACAACAACCCAATGTTAGATTCGTTTTGTTAAAACTTTGGTTTATACCAGATAGTTAAATAATTTTATTTATTTATTCATGTTTATTTACATCATTTCTACCCCACCTTTCTCCAGCCCGGAGGGGACTAAAGGCAGCTTTACAACATAGGCAGCTACTTGATGCCATTAAAATAATGTAAAATTACAATAACATTTAAAATAGGATTATAAATTACATCAAACATTTAAAACATTAAACCAATATAATCACTATTAAACCACAAATGATGATGGTGGTGGTGGTGGTGGTGGTGATGCCACGAGAATGTGAATGTATATTACTGTTGTTGTAAACTGCTTATTTTGCGATGTTTTATACTTATTATTGATGTATATGGATTGTTGTTTACATGATTTTAATATGTTGTAAGCTGCTTTGGGTCCCATGAGGGAAAAAACAGGATATAAATAAAGATTATTATTATTATTATTATTATTATTATTATTATTTTAAAAACTTTATTTATATGCCACCCTATTTCCCTGAGGGGACTCAGGGCAATTATTTGCTGCACTTCATTACACGTTAAGTTGTTTAATACCTGTGTTGTATAAATAAATGAAAGAAACATGACAAAAACAATGTCGTGGGGAATGATATTGGAATGCATAGACAGATGGCACCTCTAGAGATTTCATATAAAACCAGAAAGTTAATGACTGGAAACACCAGTTGAAAATCAGCTTGTTAGTTTAATATAACAGGCAAAATTGTCTTTACCTTTAGTACAGAGAAGCGAACTCTGTGTCACCTCCTTTTTGATGCCTTCAGGCTGAATGACAGAAAAGGAAAGATGGATAAAGTTGTGTGAAACCACAAGTATGGAATTACATAATAATCTCAACACTAACACATGGAAGTCACTGACATGTAATACAGAATAGCAATGAAAATAAAATATATTATGTGTGCTAATATTTATACTGAAGTGTGCAAGTGTTGTGATTTAAGACTCTTTGGTCTGTTAACCCAGTTAAGACTGTTCAACAGTGGAATTCTCTGCCTTGGGAGTGTGGTGGAAGCTCCTTCTTTGGAGGCTTTTAAACAGAGGTTGGATGATCATTTGTCAGGGGTGCTTTGATTGTGCTTTTCCTGCATGGCAGAATGGGGTTGGACTGGATGGCCATGTGGTTCTATGATACTATCCACTGTTCACACCACAGGAATATTGATTCATTATCTCTTCTGCCTTCCCACCATCATGTCTGTACTTACCACTGTTCCACCCACTTCTTGGACCTTTCAGCCTTTCTCCATCCCTCTATGGTCAGTCAACACATGTGCCTTATCTCTCTATCCATCTCAGTGACTTGAGAAACTGCAAGTTGCTTCTGGTGTGAGAGAATTGGCTGTCTGCAAGGACGTTGCCCAGGAGACACCCGGATGAATTGATGTTTTTATCATCCTTGTGGGAGGCTTCTCTCATGTCCCTGCATGAGGAGCTGAAGCTGACAGAGGGAGCTCATCTGCCTCTCCCCGGATTCTAACCTGCGACCTGTCCGTCTTCAGTCCTGCCGGCACAGGAGTTTAACCCACTGCACCACTGGAGGCTCAGTGATAAATATTATATATAATCCTCTCTATAGAGACATATAAGCTCATGTAGCACTACTTTTTCATAAGCTATTATTTCCATCTCTTGCAGATGTCCAGATTTTCACACTTACCTCAACCAAGAGTGGAAGGATGACTGTGTCCCTCCATCCTCCAGTTAGCTCTCCTGCTTTGGCTTCTGCAGTGATGGTAATATTCACTGTTCCTGAAAGAAGATCCCAATGCACATTCAAAAGCAGGCATTTCTTCAAAGCAGCAATCAGCAGAGAAGCAAAATGAGCAAGAATATCCTCAATTTGAAGTTAAGTGTTATATGTTTGTTTTTTTTTAAAAAAAAACCAAACCAAAATTGGGTGCACCACTTTTTGTATTTTTTAACAAAATGTTGCCTAATGCATTACATTTAAAAATATAACATCAGTTTTGCTCAACGCCATTAAATAATAGGCCTCTCTATCATTGAACATGAAGAAGGTTTGTTCTTGAGGTGGAGCAGTGGTTCTCAGCCAGAGAGGATAGATGCCTTTGGACTTCCAGCTTCCAGGATGCCTGAGCCTGGTAGGGGATTCTCAGAGTTGAAATCCAACAAGAGGCCAGTTGGAGACCCACTGTTCTAGAGAATCAGAAGAAGGCTAACAACGTGAAGTCATACAATATGATCATAAAGGTAATTACCCAGCTTCTGGGGGCTAACTCTCCAGGTATAGGATTTTGTTTCATTTGCACACAGCCTTGTGGGATTGCTCTCTGATGACAGAAATTCTGCTCTGTAATCCTCAGACTCTTTTAGTATCACAGTCACCTGAGAGAAAAAGGATCAATGAGAATATCAGTAAAGTAGTACCATAATGATAGATCAGATTGCTGGACTATGATCAGGTCTCAGTTACTTTTCCTAATCTTACCAAAATACTACTGGATATGTTAGGGATTGAAGCAAAGTTATCACAGAGTCAAGAAATGTTTTGTAACCATAGGAGAGATGGTCAGGATCAGGAACTCTTATAATTGAGATCAAGGGGAAAGGAGTGGGAGCGAATTATCTGGATGCAAACAATACTTACATTTTTTTCATCAAAGCGAAAATGTGCCCTAGTCCATCAGAACTTTTGAATGACAGAAATGAAATTCACACTGTATTGTCAAAGGCTTTCATGGCCGGAATCACTGGGTTGTTGTAGGTTTTTTTGGGCTATAGGGCCATGTTCTAGAGGCATTCTCTCCTGACGTTTCGCCTCCATCTATGGTAAGCATCCTCAGAGGTAGTAAGGTCTGTTGGAACTAGGAAAATGGGTGTATATATCTGTGGAATGACCAGGGTGAGTCAAAGGACTCTTGTCTGCTGGAGTTAGGTGTAAATGTTTCAACTGACCACCTTGATTAGCATTTGATGGCCTGGCAGTGCCTGGGGCAATCTTTTGTTGAGAGGTGATTAGATGTCCTTGTTTGTTTCCTCTCTGTTGTTTTGCCGTTGTAATTTTAGAGTTTTGTAATACTGGTAGCCAGATTTTGTTCATTTTCATGGTTTCCTCCTTTCTGTTGAAATTGTCCACATGCTTGTGGACAATGGTTTCTCTGTGTAGTCTGACATGGTGGTTGTGAGAGTGGTCCAGCATTTCTGTGTTCTCAAGTCAGAGAAGTCAGCCATAGCAGAGCACCTGATGAACCAACCTGGACACAGCATATTATTTGAGAACACAGAAATGCTGGACCACTCTAACAATCACCATGCCAGACTACACAGAGAAGCCATTTTCCTAGTTCCAACAGACCTCACTACCTCTGAGGATGATTGCCATAGATGCAGGCGAAACGTCAGGAGAGAATTCCTCTAGAACATGGCCATATAGCCCGAAAAAAACCTACAACAATCCAGAAATTCACACTGCTAGTAAATGAAAGTCACATGGAAATGCTTCCAATGAAACTTGCAGAAAATAAGGACTTTTCACGGTATTGGTTTTTTTTTATTAACTTGTTCTTTTTTTTCCAGAAGTCTTGACATATGCATATCAGCGTGTGCATTTAAGCATTATTATTCTCGTGTGGTTTTCTGAATCTTGCACAACTCCTGATGTGCCTGGTAATCTTAATTTGATTACTGTTGCCTTACACTCTGGATGCAGCTCAGTGAGTTCAAGACTGGACAATGCATGAGAAGCAGGCCTATACAAAATCCATCTCAATTCTTGTGAGAAGAGAACATCTTGCAAGAATTACAAGTTTCCATGAGATTGGAAACCTTGTGAGAGCCTAGAAATCTCACGAGATCTTCCACTTGCATGGCTTCAGGCAACCCTTATTAATGCCTGCATTAGACGTTTCTTTCCCAGTCATCTGTAGTGCTAGGGACCTCTTCATATGTCCCTTTCAGCCCTTGCCATTGTGCTGGCAATTACTGGTGAAAGGGAAGGCACACGAGGTGGTTCATGGCTCCTGCAAGCCTTCCCTCCTTTCCCCATCATATGGTGGGGACGGGACAGTGTGCTTTGACCCTGCCCCTGCCCCCATCAGATGGGAGAAAGGGCGGCAATGCACATGGGCAAAAGGGGAGGAAAGTGCACTTTCCTTTCCGTAGTGAGGAGGTAGATTCATTTGATGCTTCCACCCCGCTTTGTGAGGAATGTGGGCAGGGTCTGCTGTGCATCATGTAATGGTACACAGCAGGCCCCATTTTTGCCATTCAGCAAAGTTGCAAAATGGGGCAAAATGCTCTGTGTGAAGAGGTGACTAGAGAAGGAAGAGCGGGCATTAACCATGATGACAACAGACAGACGTTGTCTGAGGCCAATTTGCTGCATACTAAACACCCTGGTGTCAATCTCTTGTGAATGAACCTGGAATCTATGCTTTCTAAAATTGGATACAAATCTCATTCACAACTGACCAACCCTGAAGCATTTGGTATGTTGTAAAATGGCCTCAGACTGAGATCCAGTTGTTCCAAGTCTGGCTGGCACTCACTGATTTAACTCACTGGCGAGGGAGAACAACAGTACCATGCCAGGCATGATCCCAGCAGGCAGAACCTCAGCATTTTGCTATATAGCAAATGTGACTGTTTACCACCATCAATGAATTTGTGGCATGCTGTGTGTCACCAGGACAGGGTTGGACTTCAAGCGCCCAAATGTGGGATGGTTTGTAGAAAATGAGACACTTCAGAAGTTGTCAAAGTGGCAACTGAAACTATTAAAGCACATTGTACCTCGTTGCACTGGTTCCGGTAATTGAAGACATTAGCCTTAAGAACGAACACTTCATTTCGGATAGTGGAGTAGGGCAGCGACGGACGAACAAAGAATGGCTGAGATGCTATCAGACTGGCTTTCTTTGACATGCCAAAGCCATCATTTTCTTCCAGACAAAACACATTGGCTTCCCATTCAGTGATGGTATCAGGTACAGTGTATGAAAGATCGGCATTCCCACTGGAACTAAAACAGGAAAGGAATCAAATCTTGAAGCCTTCTGAGGTCATTTGCCATTGGAATTGAACTTTGTTACCACTATTATACACATAACCATAAACCAAAGAGAATATGAACCCCTTAGTAATGGAGAGGATATGTCTGCTCCACATCTTATTTGAAGACCTACCAAAATAATATGTACTGAATGTATTTGTCCCTGATTGCTACTATTGCTACCACCAGCCACCTTCCTAGTTTATTCTGTTAAGACCTACACCCGTATTTCTTCAGAACAAGAAAAGAGACTCCACCTAAATATTACAAAACATTATTGAAGGTAAAAGCTGTGTGTCAATAGAATTATGTTGTCAAGGAATGTGGTGGAGTCCCCTTCTTTGAAAATTTTAAAACAGAGGCTGGATGACTATCTGCTAGGAGTGCTTTGCATGGCAGAAGAGGGCTGGGGTGGATAGCAATTGGGTTACTATTCCAATTCTATGATTCTCTGAAAATATGAGGATTTTCCCTACAAAACTAGCACATTGAAGTAATAATGAAATTATTGCTCTAGAACTGATTTTTCAAATAAATGAGAGTGTGATATTATTTGATTTGGGTGGAGGCTCCTTCCCGGAGTGTGGTGGATGCTCCTTTTTTGGAAGATTTTAAACAGAGGCTGGATGGCCATCTGTCAGGGGTGATTTGAATGTAATATTCCTGCTTCTTGGCAGGGGGTTGGACTGGATGGCCCATGAGGTCTCTTCCAACTCTTTGATTCTATGATTCTATGAGGCTAGAAGCAAATAAGTAACCTTGAATATGATGTTAAGAATAATAAAGAATAGTAGGAAAAAGACTCACTCGACTGAAACTATATCGAAAAACCAGGTTTCAGGGAAGTTGGTTCTCACTGTCTCGATCATTCCACCAAAAGAATCAGCAGAAGCCTTAGCTGTGGGAAAGCAGAGCAAAGATGTAATGCAGTATGGAAATTCAAGAAATATATCTGAAAAGGTTTGATATTCATTTGGGAATACAGAATGTTCAGACTAAAATGTACTAAGCATTTTATTAAACTGAATTAAGCATGAATTTTGTGAAACCTTTGGAGAGTTGCTTCCTTTTGGAAACACTGTTCAAATCCATGTATCAGTCTAGAATTTGTTGCCAAAAATTACCCCAAGAGATAGACTTATACTGAAGGACCGTCTCACCCCCTATGAACCCCAGAGATCCCTCCGTTCTGAGGACCAAGATCTATTGGAAATTCCCAGTGTCAAGACCTTGCGTCTAACAGCAACCAGACGCAGAGCCTTTACAGCAGTGGCACCATCACTATGGAATATTCTGCCACCTGAAGTCCATGCCTTGCGGGACTTCTTGGCTTTCCGCAGGGCATGTAAGACATATCTGTTTCGACAGGCCTTTGATTTTTGATATTGCTGTTTTTAAATTGTTTTAAATTGTTTTTAAATTGTGTTAGGTTTTAGCCGTTCTTGTAAGCCGCTCCAAGCCCCAGGGGAGTGGCGGCATATAAGTTTGAATAATAAATAAATAAATAAATAAATAAAGAGAGTAGGTTTTTATATCAATACTAGCTATACCCTGGTAACGCTCTGCTTTGGCCCTCAGAAAACAGGAATCCAACTATCTGGGCTAGGGAACACCTCCCCAAAAAGGTTTCCTGTAGGCAGAAAGAAGCCAGGCTTTTAAGCTTCAAGGTTATCAAGGTGGGCAATGTATGTGAATATGTGTGTGTGTGTGCTTGTGTACATGTATATATGTGTGTATGTATGTATGTATGTGTGCATGTGTATATGTATATGTGTATATGTGTTATATATATATGTATTTATGTGTGCATATATATGCATGTATATATGAGTGTATATGTATATGTGTATATGTGCATGTGTGTGTTGCTTGTATATGTGTGCATGGCTGTTAGGAATTGTAGGAGCTGAAGTCCAAAATACCTGGAGGGCTCAAGTAGGCCCAAGCCTGGAGTATGAGATTTGTTACTGAACCCTGTGTCTCTTTCGAGACCTGTGCGGCCTCCTCCTGACGTGGCTCCTCCTCCTTCCCTCCCTTCCCATTCCCTCTCGCCTTCTTTGTTTGACGGCTGCAAAAGGACTCCCTTTCCTTGCTTTCTTTCTTCTTTGCTTCTTCTGTCTCTCTGCACTTCCCTCTTTCCATCTCTCTCCCTCAAGGTTTATTCATTTCCTTTCTTTGAAGTAGATGCAAGTGAGGTGAGTGGAAGAGGAAGGAGCCAGGGACAACCCCCCTCCTTTGATTTGTGGTGGAGGCTCTAATCAAAGGCTGCTTTTCAGAGCAGCTTTGCTGGGCTGTTCTTTTCCTGCGGGACCTTTCTCCTCTCCTTGGCTGGCTTCTCGGCTGGTTGTTTGCAGGGCTGCTGGCTTGGCTCCTGGAGCAGGGACGGCCAGCTGCTTTGCTATGGATGGTTGTTTCCCCCCTCACATAAGAGGGGGTGGGGCCAGGTTTTGCACACGCATTGTAACACATATTTAATTTTTTTAGGATTTTAAAGCTATTTTCACAGTTTTGGGTTTTTTTAAATTCTTGGTCATACCTTGGGATATGAGGCATTTGGAAGCCAAATTTGATGTCATTTGGCCCCATATGTTGTTTTTAGTGTACTCATGATGTACAGAAGCTTTTTATATATATAGATAGAAGAAGGGGCAAATACCACTGAACAACAAATCATCAGCTTATTGTCGAAGGCTTTTACAACCAGAATCACTAGGATGTTGTGTGGTTTCCAAGCTGTATGTCTGTGTTCTTGCAGCATTTTCTCCTGACATTTCACATGTATCTGTGGCTGGCATCTTCAGAGGATTTGATCCTCTGATCTTCTGAAGATGCCAGCCACAGATGCAGGTGAAATGTCAGGAGAAAATACTGCTAGAATATGGCAAACAGCCTGGAAACCACACAACACCCCTATTATAAACTTGGGTGTGGTTCAAATGTCATCCTCCTGAGAGAGGATGACTTTAATTATTATATACATATACAGATGCACACACATACACATATTTAATGTTAATTAATCTTCTATCTTGATACTTACCAAGTAGTCCAACCTCAGGGTCTCCATCAGAGGAAGCTTTCTTGCATTCGTAGTCACTTTGGCATACAATAGGTTTCTGTAGTGTGGAGTTGGTGAAAACCTTGAGCCCCATGTTCTGCAAATGGATAGATTAAAAATGCTGTTTTATTTTTTTTTATTAGCAAGAAGACATACCACATATTTTAAAAGGAGTGACTATTACATACTGGGCTTCAGAACTATTAATATATTCCATATAAAATAGCTTTCATAACTATTTGTTAAAGAGGACAATGAAGAATATTCTGGGGAAAGGGGTGTGACAACTGTACTACAGAAACTGTAAATAATTTGGGTCGGAAAGAAGCTGCTTCCTTCAAGTTGTCCTGTCTTTTCACGATCACTCATCACTAGTGTGCTCACATGTTCAATGAGATCCCAAGTGTTCATTCTATTCCAAGAACAAATTTCTCTCCCAGAACTCCATTGCTTCACTATGACACTTTCCAGATATATTTACTCTTTCAACATAATTCTATTAGAAATACCTGGCATTTACTTAAACTTTTAATTAATGTTAGTACATGAATATAAAGTACATGCTGTGCTAATTTATGCTTTTTACTGTGCTTTGTATTTTGTGTAGATAACTATGATGGCCTACGGCTACAGAAGGTTACATAATAATCTTAACAAAAGGTTTAGCAAACTTTTATTTTATTTTTGTAAAAAAAAACCTTTACAGGCATGAGTATGTGCATGAAATAGAAGCTGAGTAGTCACCAATACATTCCTTATTTTGGTTACAAGTATTACAGACTATGTGTTGCCAGCTATATATTTACTATCCAACAGTGTGCAGATGAAGCAAACATTCTGCCCAACAAGTTATTTCCACCTTCCTCAAGTTTCATTGTGGCTTTTGTCAGTATATAAACTGGCCACAAATAGAAAAAGAAAACAAATGGGATGGTAGTATCAGACCCCAATTAGAGAAATAAACAAATATACCTGAAAAACATCATAGACACTCCCATCATTGGTAACATTCACAGGCACATAGTACAAGCCATTAAAAAAAGTATCTTTTAGCTCAATGCATGATTCTTTAGAGTCATCTTCAAGGTTCAGACCCATGTAATAATATCCAAAAAGTTCTAGATAAGGCATCCGGTTGTACACCTGTTGAAAAGAGGGAAAATACACGTGACTTGAAAACATGGACAGACTCTGTGTATATATATCTTATATTAGAAAAAAAGAAAATCTTGCATATATTTGTGAGAATAGATAGAACACTCTTTAGGGGAACATAAAAACATGAAAAGTTGCATCAAATGTGACGAATTAGCATTGGGCTAAAGTATCATCCCACAATGAAAAGACAAAAACATTCTTATACTTTTTCTAAAAAATACTTCTGCTCTTCATTCAATAAGATGAATATTTTCAGTTGCATATGAGGATTCTGAATTAACACTGTTTATTCTTATTCTGATACTAGCCGTCCCCTGCC